TCAGCAAAGAAATTGAACTGTTAAAATATGGATTTACGCAAGTGTCTTTCTGCATGTGGTATTTGTTTTATCGAGATCCAGTGATCTAATCATTATGGTTTCCGTCTGTTTTGGGTACAGCAAAGAGATTACCTCGAGTGCAGCCTGTGCAGAACCCGGCAGGAATGGTTCTTATGGACAGACCTTCTGAAAGGGTAGCAAGCTCATCCTGTTGCTCATAGAGGTTCTATGGTGCCTTCAGCCACTGCGTGCTTGGTATTTCCATAATAGTTGCGTAACACAGTGGAAATGATGTATCGTTTTATGAAGTTTCCCATGTATGTGTACATTTATTCAGATTTGTATATGCATGTTGTTTAGATACTTTCACAAAGTGTGAGAAGCCTATGGAGATTGTTTTTTCATGTAATGAAATGGTTTGGCATGCTAACTCTGATTTGCAAATACCCAGGTTTGGTAATGAATAATAAGAATTCTTATTCTTTAATGATAGACCAACATAGTTCAGGCAATTTGTAGCAAGCACATACACAATTATGCAGTAAAAACCAGTTGAAATTCTATTGCAGTTTATTGGTGTAATACTTCCATACTGCCATAAGCATTTGCAGATAAAGAGGTACCTAGGTACCTCGTGGTTTGGAGTAGTTTAGACTATCAGAACTCCTTAAACTTTTTCACAAAGTCGAAGAGTTATAAGATGGTCAATACTTGTAAGAATATTTACATAATTTTACATAAGTAAATGCCACTCCTTGATGGTCCTCCCATAGCTAGTTGCAACCATTTAAAGACCCTAAAGTCACTAAATACACTGAAAATAGTTATTCAAAGTACTGACTCATTTTGTAGGAAACTTAGTTTTTTTTTTCTTTTTTGATACAAATGATATTTTACCTTAATTTAATCTAAACCATACAGAGGGGGATTCGAACTTGGGTGCAGAGTGATTAGCACACCGCTCTCACCAACTTGGCTAAGTCATGTCTACATGTTTTCCACTAGTTCTTGAGCCTTCTCTATTCATCTATGTCAGTATTTAATGCGCATAGTTCTAAACTTATCATTGATATTGTGCGCATAGTAAGCTTATCATGATATTGACTGCACTATCATGATATAAACTCATAACATTTGAATATATGTACAATGGAAAAGCAATGTCATTATAGTTGCCAGAGATTCCTTGAACACTTTTTGGCATATATTTATGTCTCTGCTTGTTTATTTGTATCTAATTATTTTGCATGTGCATGGCCACATATAGGCTTCATTTCACCCATTAATTATAGAGAATATTACTAATTACTGCTCTCCACTTCAATTTGTTCCCTCCTTACCAAGCAATTGGAATAAAACCAGCTCATTTTCTTGACCTTCTAAGGCATGGAGATCAATTTAACAAAGATTTAGCCAAGTACAAAACAACCAAATACTAAATTCATCAAAGAAAAGGAACTAATAAAGAAAACATTAAGCAAAAATATCCAAACTGCCAACCCTCATTATTCTGTCTGCTGAAAATCACAACTGGCATAACAGCAAGAACTACCCACCAACTTCCCCACAGCTTGGGATCACTTATTTTTTGTGCAGTCCTTGAGAGGCCGCAGCTGAAGCGCAGTCCATTGGTTGAAACCCAATTCTCTCTTTCTCAAGGTCATAAACAACCTCTACATTTTGTTGCTGAAAGCTCCCAAACACCCCAGCTGGCCCATAATCTTCATCATCCATGGCTTGGAACAACAAGCATTTCACCACAGTGGAGTTGGCTGGAGCTCCCATGGCATAAAAGTGATTGCCTTGGGGCAAAACAAGACTCACATTATTCAAGAAATGGAAAGTGATTGAAGGAAATAGGTCATCAGGTTTTGTGAGAGTATTGATTGTGTATGGGACCACATAACAAAGATCAAAAGAAGTCTTTGTCTCCATCTCCTTGGCTCTAGGATATGAAATCACTGAGTGGAGAAGTGAGAGAAGGTTAGAGTAAAGTGGTTCAGGCAAATGAGTATAAGTGGTTCCTGAGTCAATTAACATACCCCCATTGCCTTGAGCATCAAACTCTCTCAAGCTTAAGGGCATTTGGGTAATTGCACTGGCATTACCTATTGTGATAGCCTCCAGACCTATGTAGTAGTTGTTAGGGTACATGGGACTCTTCAACATTGGAGTGAATTGCAAGTTTTCCTTAGAAGAAATAGCAACATCTCCTACAATTAATGGACTTGAAATATTAGGGTTGTTTGCATACTTGAAAGGCAAGAAACAATGAGAGAAGCCCTTTTGAAGGAACCCTAATTGGGATGGGAGGGAAAGTGATCCCCTACCAAACCCTGCAATCCCAATAGGCTCTCTATAAGTAGACCCAATGCACCCAAAACAAAACTTGGGAATTTCTCTCGTGACAACATTATCGGGGGTGCTACTAATTCCATGAACCCTAAGTGTGTCTCTACTAAGTGTCCCTGTGACAACCCCACCTCCCCCATAAGTGTAAGCAAATGAAGGGCATGGTCTAGGACATGTGGCCTTAAGAAGGGTAGTGAGTGAGCATCCGGCTATGGTGCATGGATCGATAGAATTTTCTGAGCTATGGATGTCAAGGCAAAAGGAGCTACCACAGAGGTCTCTAAGTGATGAAGAGGAAGCAGAAGGAGAGAATGTGGGCATTAGTCTGTTGTTCCTATAGTCATCACAATCCATGCAAACAAAAGAAAGATTCCCACAAGGAACCCAAGTAAGATCACTCCCAGTATCCATGTAAACCTGAATGACTTGTGGGGGTGTCCCCAAGTTAAGAGATATCAAATACCCATCTCTAACTCCCCTCAAGGGCTCCATCATATCTGACACTTGTGATGGCATCTTTTTCGAATTAGCAGAGGCTTTTGGAATGGGAAGGGAAGTATAAGAATGTGTTAGACCAAGTACCAGGGAAGTAGAACTTGGCTTCTGCTTGGCTAGGGTTTGGTTGAAGTTCAAGAATATTGCAATGGCTAGAAGGAAAAGGAGAGTGCAGGTTTTAGTGAAGGCTGCCATTGGGATCAATGAAGAATAGAGTCTATAGAGATAACGTAAGTGAGCTCAAAACTTAGCTTATATAGTAATGAGCTCAGCTCCTCTAAACAAAAGAACAAACCATGCTCATAACAAAAAGCTCTGCAAGATAGTGGCACTCATGATCATGGCCCTGCGAATCGGGTGAGCTTCAACTTAAACTCTCCGGAATTTATGGGGTTGCAGCATATAATATACATGGAAGTTTGGAGCCTTCCTCAAACTACAGGCATACTGACGAGGACTGACCAACTGTTTGCTTGCCATTTCGATTCTCACATGGCAGTTGCTACTATTTCAGGAAAATTTGTATTTGTATATACAATAACGCTAGGCTGTAGGCTGTACTTTCTCTTGATTAGAATAAAAACATCAATTAACATGCCACTAATTACTAATTAGTGTACTTGACTGCATTTGTTTAACTGATGATTAAGAAAGTACCGGATGGAGTGTCAATAAATTAAGCACGATATTGGGAAGTGACACTACCTCTGCTTCAATTAATATTGGTGCTGCTGGTCGAATATTATGATCTTAACTACTATGAATGATATATGGTTCTATATAACATCTAGTTGGAATGCTTTACCTTAAAAATTATAAAGTTCTTTTGTCACATTAGCTTTCTTCAAATTCAGTTATGATCTGTAGATTCTGTACCATGCGGCTACTTCATCAGCAGGAAAAAGACTACTCACTCATGACTCACATGGCCTCACTATTCTTCTCACTATGAACTTAGTTTCAGGAAGAGCTTCAAGACTACTCATGATTTCAGTGAGATTGTTTGAAATATATCAATAAAGGGAGCTGTTATTAGCATTCTATAAAAGTTATTCTGCGCTCGTCTCTTATAAAAATATAAGGCATAGAGAAATTGCATTTAGACTCTTAAAAGAGGACATAATAATCTTTTTGAAGTGCCAATAATGTCCATAGTTTCACTCTACGTTATAGGTTAGATCCTAAAAAAGTCTATCATGTATATTGCATACATTTGATGGTAATATTTTGTCATCAGAAAAATGTTTATGTTGCGAGACCGTGAATTTCAATCACACAATTATGATCTGAACTATGCGGCTGCATCACCAGCTAGAGAGACCTACTCAGTCAAAACTTTGGATACCTCGGTGGACCAGATTTGAGTGAGAATGTCCATTTGCAAAGTTATTTGATTATAAATAAAGCAATAAAAAAAAGGTCCCAAGGTAAAAGGAAACACATCAACAACAGTTCCACTATCAAGTCCAGTATGCTATTATTAGTTACACTGGTTTTCCTTTCAATACCTTCCTCTTGTTGCATATTGCGAACACTATTGTACACAAATGTGCAGTACAAAATGCTTTCACAACTCTTTTTAAACTTGGGGTAATTTTAGTACGTAATTATAAAATTAGTTAAGAGATTTTCCCTGTAGAAAGTAGATACTTTTAGTGGCTTTTCTGTTTTAGATAGTAATTAAAAATACTAAGAACAACAAAAACTATGCAGGCGCAGTACTAGGATGATCCTCAAGATTTCCCCTACTTTTGTCGCCATCAACCACCCATTAGAGTTTTGAAGTTTGATAAAGGGGAAAAACAGACCCTAGTTTTTGCTTTTATTACCAATCAATAGATCACAAGTTATGCTTGAGATCAAGCTTTCCTCATGCTTCTGGCATAAGAAAAAGAAAAATGCCTGGCTCCTCATGCATTATTCCCTTTTGTATGATCTATTTGGACCCCAAAAAAAATAAAAAATAAAAAAGTTGGCAAATCTACATTATGTTTTGCCCATCTCAACCTGTAAAGAGAACTTGCTACTCATCCATAACAAGCATTGTTCTAAAACTAAATAAAAAAAATTAAAGCGATTGTTGAAACAATAATGTATCCAGCTTTGAATCACTTACGTCCATTAACCTTTAACTCTAGTGGCATACAGTGGAGTGAGGTAAAAAGTAGAGATCTTAGATTGGATTCCCCTTGTAATTTAACAACAAACAAACTTTAGAAACATTTACAACAATTGTGACCACCAAAATGCCTCCCGTTTCGATTTCTTTTTGAACCCCTCGAGGCCTCTATCATTTATACAGTGAGCAAAATAGAAGAATGCACAAGCACAGACCCATCTTAAGGGGAGGACTTTAGACTCAATTGGAACATATATATATCCATCATTGCATCTTGGCTAATTGCTTGATCAATCCCTTGATAATCTTTCCAAACCACATCAAGTTCATTATTGCTAGCACTGATGGCACAACAAAGACCAGCAGATATCCAAAGGTGTGCATCTGGATGACCTGCCCATCCAATTAAAATTAATTTAGTAGTTCTGACAAATCACATAATTCTGCAGTTGTATAGCACTTGATAATTCATAAAAGTTCACAAACATTGCTTTGAAGGGAACAGGCAAAATAAGAGATGTTTTGGCTTTTTTCTTTCTTTCTTCGTTTCAATAAGTAGGAAGTGAGCAATGTAGAATCTTCTGGAACAGTTGAAAACTATTGCACTATATGCAACTTTCAAGATTTTATTAAGGAATAGACAATAGGAAGCATAATCAGGGGCACACTGATGCTTGCCATCCTGCTGCCCAAGAAAAGCACCTCAAAAGAGGGAAGAAAAAAGCAGAATGTAAAGATCCAAAATTTCATTCCCCTTCTCGGAGAACTATGTCAGCATGGTCTGAAGTATAAATCAACTTTTCAAGACAGTGAAAGTATACAGTAAGCAAAATCAAGTGTAGGTGGTAGGTACATATCTTCAGGGAATTGCAACTTACCTGATCATAGTGCAAGTAAACATGGTAAAACATGTAACCAAACAGCAGAATTCTTGCAGCCTGCATTCCATATATTCTTTTCAGAAAGCATATCTTACAGAGATAAAAGTTGTATAACCAGATGAAAATCCAGCAACTTCGAAAACAACAATACATGCTCATGATGCTGGCTCACATTAAGATAGATGGCTAAGAAATGAATTAGTCCTCCTACATTTGAATTGCCGAAACAAGAACTTTATGTGAGAGTTGAAGCTCTGAAAGCAGAATTGGGATCAGAGTGGTTTTCCTTGGAGATGGAAAAATTCACTTTATCTTATAAGTGAAAGTAGTAGGAAAGTGTTGTAAGTTGCAACTAAGTCGATCCACTATATGATATGAGTACATATTGAGCATCAAGCCACCATGTTTAACAACAAAATGGCAAAAATTCAAGAGGACTTCAACTGACCAGCCATGATAAAAATATCACAATGCCGTTTATGAGATATGCACTGGACCTCTTCATACCAGCTGTATCAAGATACCTTCATGAAACCCAAAGTTTATATTAAAGATGGAATACTAGAACCTAAACACCGTATTGCTTGTAAAACTTACCATCTCATATTGATCTCTGGAGTAGTGATCTCAGAGATGAGGATCATGTATGTATAAAGTTGCCCTTCTCCAGAAAACATGGAGTAAGCTACTGCAATTCCAGAAAGTGAGTGATGGAAAACCTGTAATTGAACACCACCATATTAAGAGTTATACAGCTTTTAACATGGCAAACGCTACTCATTTCTAATCAAAGATTTGTGTATACGTTGCCTAGTATTTATTCATTATTTTTATTTTTATTTTAAAGGAAACAACTTCATTTTACTACCAAAAAGAGTACAAGATTGGTGGACTGGTCCACCAAAAAAGTACAACCATAAAAGTCTAACAACACATCTGCCAACCACTACAAAAATAAAACAGAACATACTTTAAACTGAAAACACAGCAACTCCCCGTTCATAAAAGATAGCCAAAAATGAAACCGATGCCCATAGGGAAGCCCAGAGTCTAATCAAATGCGACTAGGAATGAACTTAAATTATATGCAAATGTTCTTTTTCCTTTCTTTTTTTTTTTTTTTTTTTTTTTTTTGGTTTTTGTTGAGACTTGTTATAACATTGGTAAATTATGCTTCTGACCAGATGTCAAGAAGGTTAGAACAGACATATAAAGATATATGTATATGCGTGTGCTTCTAGACTAATATAAGAACTGTCTTCCATGGAGAAATTACTTACATATTCCATTCCACCTAAAGAAGGGTATAGCCATAATAGCATTCCTAGATCCGCACAGAAGTACCCAACAGAAACCTGTCATAAATCATCTTAGTTAAGTTCCTTTCAGAAATATGTTAGGAGATACCAAACCAAAAAAGTGTATCTAGACAAACCCATTAAAACAAAAGGTCCAGATCACTCGTGAATCCTTGATAGATTGGCTCTTGGGTTCATATTAAACTGCTAGTCTAGGCATGGTCAGATGATAAACTCATCATGACATCATAAATGTATTGATAAGTAATTAAAACTAATTTTTGGCTCACTTCAGCATTTCCTTACATTGTGTAGGGAGTGCAGATACCTTGATATTAATTGAGTGGCCAATTTCATAAGATAATAATAGGAAACACATACCCCTAATCCAAAAACGGACAGTGGTGAGCTTCGAAATGTAACAAGGCCAGCATGAGGTTGGTCAGAAAAGAGATCGGACCAGAACACAAAATGTAAGGATAGAGCTGTGATAAAAATGGCATGAATACTGGAGATACCTCTGCAAAAGTTACTTTTCAAATTAATAAACGCACAAGTAATTACAGATGAAATTCAACAGTTGGAAAGTGGGAATCCTCACCGACTGTTCCACTCAATTCGTTGGATTTTTGTAAGGCCAGCATAAGTCTTGATGTAAAAGCTACTAATTAACTGGGTAAGATCATATACCTGCAATATATAATGAGTTAATAAGAAAATGGAAGACCAAATCTACAACCTGAATGGAGCACCCAAGGGCTCAACTTTAAGAACCATTTTAAACATTAAAGGAATTAAAAGATTACAAGCATACCATTTTGCACAAAATTATGCCTCCAATAATGGAAGTATATGGTATGAAGGGATCCGCTAATAAATAGTTTTTAACCAGCACTCCCGCTTGATTTTGGTAAGACTTGATAGCCATAACTGTCTTTGTAGACACTTCCATCGCAATATGTTAGATTAGCCGTTCTTATTTCCCTTCTTTACTTTTCCGTACTGTCTTCCTCTCTTCATTTTCCTGTTTCATCTTTCCATTAGCAGACACATGGAGCAAGTAAGCTACCAGGACAGTAATCATAATCATAAACATGCACCTGATTATGACATTTTAACCAGAGTAGCTTATATTAGCAGATGGGTAAGCTGCAAGCAAAAGAAATGTGATATCTCATTGCTCATCTCTATACACATAATCCATTGGATTTGTATTTTATTCTGTACATACATTCAAGTATTCAGACAACAAAAACCTTTGTACGAAAACAAAAAATGCGAACTAAAAGGCAGGAACCATCCAAACACAGAATTAGAAAGATGAGATCAAGTAACACCCAGACTGATAAATAAGAGAAATTAAGCAAGACACAAACTTTGAGCTACTGGCCAAATACAAATGTATGAATGTACACTAGTAAACTCATCAAAGGGACTAGATAGTGTAGCTGTAAATTGGTCAAGCAACAAAACTCAAGATTTCATCCTAGGACTGGCCACAAACAGTTTCTTCATTTGAATAAAAAACCAAATGACCCAACCATAGAGATGATGTGGTCATTTGAAAAGTGGTGGTGGAGCCACTGAAGTCAATGTAAAATGCAGTAACCCATCAATATTAACAACGGTTGCAGAGCAATCTCAAGACAAGCTCTAAGCAGGAGATTCAAAAAGACTATCAAATGTAAATGAGAGCAAGCAGTACCCGGAAACCAGGAAATACAATCAAACGGGAAAAACAAACTCGGATCCAAAATCTGCCCAAAAACACATGGGAAATCAAATGGGGTATATAAAACAACCTTCAGCATTAGATCAGAGACCATAGAATAGCACAACGCAGATAAAATTTTAGAGAAAACCCAGCAAGCTAAAACAGAGGATGTAAGCTAAGAAGCTCAGAAATCAGATGGAGGTCTTACCATGAGCATGAAGTCCATAACTTAACCAACAAAACCCTTCCAACATCAACAGCCAAATCAGATGGGCATTTGGGAAAACAGACACAGAGGAACCAGAGCTAATCCAATGCCAAAATCTACAAATCTCAATTAAAAAAAAGGAAACTTGAGGAGCTGATGCAGATGGGTATTTGAGAAAACAAATGGGTATGGCGAATTTGTCACCAACAATAAAGAAATGGAATGCAAACAACCCGTGAAGAGGAAAAACGAAGCAAAAGGGGTGCAATCAATGTAAATGTGAGTGCTTCGAATCTACAACCGAACAGGTAATAAAGTAAGGGAAGGAGGAGTTATTAGTTAAAAGAAACTGGAAACTGGGAAAAGGGCCGAAAAATAAAATGACAGAGAAATTTGGGTGGATACGTGTGACTTTGTGCTTGGATATTGCCCAAGGGATCCATGAGCCAAGTGTGGATTGCATTTCATGTTATCCAATCAGATAGGGAAGTAAGAAATGAAAATAACGTGATTGGATGATGAGCTATTTGGATTTTAGAGTTTTTAAAATTTTTGCTAAGAATTTGGATTTTAGAGTTTGTTTTGAGAAATGTGAGATTTGTACAAAGTGAAGGTAAGCTATGTACTTAATATTAGTTACTTAAAGGTAGAATGATAGGTTTGAATGATAGCATTTGGATCTCCATGTCTTGATGTTTATTTATTATTTTTCTTGATTTCATTCTAAGTTATGTTAACTAATTTCTTATGTTGTTGCTGCTAGAATTCCTAATATTCCACCACCAACCCGATCCTACCCCCCCAATCATTATGGTTGTTGCATCACTTATCATTTCTTAGCTATATTTTGTATGATGACATAGTAATTTTAGATACCATTTCATCATCACAGGCCAAACCACTTCTTCTTCTTTTTTCTTTTTGTTGGGGGGGAACGTCGCCAATGCCATCAAATATTTCTCACCAAATGAAATGAAAATGAAACTGAAACTGAAAATTGGCTATTATAGTGGTGGAACCAAATTAAGCTAAGTGATGATCATATGTGATGACAGTTTCTCCTATTTATTTCTTAAATTACCATTCATTTAAATTCGAATTGGCCGATTTAGTTGGTTCGACTAAATTGATGCCCGCCCCTACTCAAACCTCCTAATCATTCTCAATAGACAGCTCAATTGTGACCAGAGAAGCCTTTGTCACATTTGAAGGATCTCAAACTTGAACCCTAGCATGTTCCGGCAACAACATGCAATCTCCAAATGAAACCTTTTTATTAACTGAATTTTTTTTGTCGAACTTTTTATTAATTGAATAGTTATATCAAATCAGTATAATGATATTGAGATTGAATAATGGTTGTACATAATTTTTCTCAAGCCAAGATGGTCTCTCAGGTATCAAATATGATCTTTTTGTAAGAGGTAGCTAAATAGTAATAGATAAAGAAGTAAATAAAATATTTGAAAAACGTAAAAGAAAGAAGGAGGCGGCGGCTTAAACTCCCAAATTGTTAGGGTTTTTGACAACGGCAGAAACAGGGACACACTTCATCTTGGTCTCTCTAAAAACCGCAGAGCGGAAATAACAAAAGGAGCAATGGGGAATTAAACCCTGAAAGGATATTCATCCAAGGTAACCTCTCAATTGAAGCTCTTTCAATCTTGATCCTCTGTAACTTTCAACTATTTATGAAAAAATGTGATTGACCTTGCTCCCATACATTACAACATTCTCTCTCTCTCTCTCTCTCTCTCTCTCTCTCTCTCTCTCTGTTCTATGGCTTTTAGAAATTTTAAGCTTTTGTGCATTTCTGGTCTTTACTGCTTTTCTCATTCCTTTAACTCTCGCTGAATCTTCTGCTTCTCTCTTTTGTCATCTCCACTTTCCATGTTAATGAATAGAATCCACAGAAGGGTTTCGAGAATGATTTCCCAACTCAATCACCTCGTACTCTTCTCGCCTGTCTTTGAAAGAACCACTTTGGTGCAGAACCCATCTTCTGTTTCGCGTAAATTCCAATGCTTTTGCAGTTCTAGACTTACCCATCACTCGAAGGTCTCTGTCATCGAGTCTGCACAATCGCCCAATTCTCCTTTTGCTAACCGGGTTTCTCGAAATGCTAGAACTGAGGCTCAGGCAACCCTTTTTGATTACCTGCATTGCACTCGAAGCTTCAGCTTCACGGATGCAGAGCATATTAGCAAAAACTCCCCAATTTTTCTTCAAAATTTGCTCTCCAACATTGATACTGAGAAAGATGTTGCACGTTCCTTAACCCGATTTCTTCGCTACAATCCCATTAATGAGTTTGAACCGTTCTTTGAGAGCTTGGGTTTGAGTCCATCTGAGCTCCTATCGTTTCTGCCACGGCACTTGATGTATCTGAGTGATGATTGTGTGCTGACTGATAACGTTCATGCTTTATATGATTATGGAATCCCCCGTAGTAACATCGGTAAGATGTATAAGGAGGCAAAGGAGATATTTGGATACGACTATGGAGTGTTGGCTCTAAAACTTCAAGCTTATGAAAATTTGGGGATAAGCAAAGCAACAGTTATTAAGCTTGTTAGTTATTGCCCTTTGCTTTTGGTTGGGGGTGTCAATAGTGACTTTGTCAAGGTTCATGAAAAATTGAAGCGTTTAGGCCTTGGAATGGATTGGATTGGAGGGTATGCATCAGGTAACAGCACATACAACTGGGACAGAATGTTTGATACAATGGATTTTCTTGACAAAGTGGGTTATACGGAGGAGCAAATGTGTGCTTTGTTTGAATTAAATCCTGCATTACTATTAGAAGGTTCTGGAAAGAATGTGTATGTATTGTTTGGCCGGTTACTCAAATTGGGTCTCGAGATGAATGAGGTTTATTCACTTTTTATGCAAAATCCACAGGTCTTGTCAGTTAAGTGCATGAAAAATCTCTTGCTGGCAGTAGATTTTCTGTTTGAGATTGGAATGGGAACAGAAGAGATGGCAGACATTGTAGCCAATGACATGGAATTTCTGAGTTCATCTAGGTTTAAAAGACCCAAAACTGTTTGTAAAGACTTAAAAGTCAAGAGAGATGGCCTGCTCCAAATGATGAAGGAAGATCCACACAAGGTGTTGACATTGGCTTCAAAGTCCAAAGGTAAAAATCAATTAATATCCCCACTCCCCAGTAAACATCTGGAGAAAACGTCATTCTTGGTGAGATTGGGATATATAGAAAACTCAGATGAGATGATGAAAGCTTTGAAAAAATTCAGAGGTAGAGGAGACCAATTACAAGAGAGGTTTGATTGCCTCGTACAAGCTGGCTTGGACTGCAATGTGGTGTCAAACATAATTAAACAAGCTCCTCATGTTCTTAATCAGAGCAAAGAAGTGATTGAAATGAAGATCAGTTGCTTAACAACCTGTTTACGTTATCCACTGGATTCTGTGGTGGCATTCCCAGCATACTTATGTTACGATATGGACAGGATTAATCTTAGATTCTCAATGTATGCGTGGCTACGGGAGAAAGGTGCAGCAAAGCCTATGTTGTCCTTGAGCACTCTCCTTGCATGTTCGGATGCACGATTTGTAAAATACTATGTGGATGTTCATCCTGAAGGTCCAGCCATGTGGGAAAGTTTTAAAATGCAAAAGAGCTAAGAATTAGATCCTTCTGATCTCCTGTCTATTATTTTGGTTAAACTACCATCTTGTATAAGAAGGCTTTACTAATTGATTCATACTCTGTTTGTTGAACAAAAATAAATAAATTCATTGATGAGAAATTCTGTTCATGGTCTACTTTATTTGGTGACAATGATTTGGTTCGCATTGTGCTCAATGCTCAATTTATTGAACAAAAATATATAAATTCGTTGATGTGAAATTATGTTCATGTTCTACTGTATTTGATGACAACCATTTGGTTAGCATCGTGCTCTTGTGGCTTATCTTGCAATGCTGAGTTGGTTTTATACCCGACAGAGATTTAAAAGGTAATTGCAAAAGAATGAGACTGTTTTGCTTCTTGTTTAGTGCTCTCATAAAAGGCAATTATAATCGATCAAAGAATTGTAGATGATTTTCGACCAAAAAGAAAAAAAGAAAAAAAGAAATGTAGATGATAGGATCCATTTTACAAGTTTGGAATTGATGGGCAGGTAAAATTATGTACAAGTAGACTTTCGCATGCTTATTACTGAACTTGGACCAGTTACAGATTTCTACTCTGTTTTTTTCTGCTCTTTCTTACCTTTCTTTAGCTTTGAATTCCTTGTTTACCAGAAACAGCCCAATAACATGATATTTTCCATCAACTCTCAGAATCCAAGAACGCATCGCTCAGAGTTTGTCATCAACAGAACTAAGGACTTAAAATGATTAGAGAAACCAATAATTTGTTAAAATCAGAATCAAAGATTGATTTCCATTGCAAGGTTCTCTACAGAGTTACAAAACTAGGACACTAGCTAGTTCGTGCAGTTAAAATGGCAATCTGCATCTGCCAAGATTGCTTACTAAGCTCTCATCAGCATCCTTGGAAAAATGTGTTCATAATTGGGAGGTTTAAAATTAGATACAATTTACAAGCCTTCATAATTTCCCAACCTTTAGATTTTCACCAACATTTTTCAGAGACGATGAGGAGGATGATGAAGACAACCTAAAGAGGTTCTTAGCAGCCTTGTCCTTGCTAAATGCCTTTTGTACTTCCTCCTTAAGCTCCATGAAACGCGTCCTCTTTATTTTCTGCTCATCAGGGGTGCCCGTCTCAAGGAAAAACAAATCAGGAAGGTCGTCCTTAATGAACTTATCCAGGACTTCCGAGCAATGAGGAAAATAGCATCTACCTGTACTGACTGCCACAACAGAACAAGAAGGCTTAAAAGGTGAAAATCAATGATAATTTTACCAAGCAGATTCTAAATACCATATACTAGCTCGTGATGTGTAACACACTTCCAGAGGTCGTGCTTCCTTTGAGAAACAAGAGTCACAATAACAGATAAAAGATCATATGTCTATCTACTAAAAGCATGCTGCATTTACCTGTTTTCATGAGGGCTTCTAACCTAGAACGGAGTCTTTTGTTCTGCACGTTAGGAGTCTCATTTAAATCAACATCCATCAAATTCCCAGTTGAGCCTTTGAATGAAGAGAGCCCAGAAAACTGAGATGTTGTCTCGGCATGAGCAATGGCCATGGCTACCTTGGCTTCAGTAGGGAATAACAATCGGGCAAAAGCCACTGCAATAAATAATGCAATTCAGATATCTAATCAGTAAAAGTCAAAGATATCATGTCAGAGACTCAAGGTACACAAAACCAATCAAAAGAAGAAATATGAAAGGCAAAAGGTTGAAGTTCATGTGTTAATATATGAAGACTACATATCTACACCCAGCAATTACCAAGTGTAAAGAGATGCGTTTGCAAACAAGCTATTCATTTTGCAAGAAACTCATTG